CCGTGTGTAGGTAAGTTGGCAAACCTTCGTCAAGTTGTTCGTCAGGTTAGAGTAAAATCAAAAATTTTAAATTTTTGGGGCAGATTGGTCAACTTGTTGCTCTGTGTGTAGACAAGTTGGCAACCTAATATGCGATTTCATTTTTTTAAAGGCGCATTAGCGTTAACATGTGTTTTTCTGTTCGTTTCGCTAGTGAAAATGGGTATAAGTAATTTGTGAAAACGGGGGCGGTAGCAATAACAAATACATAAAAATTAGAAGCATTCCCAGCATAGCTTAAAAGTTTGCTAGTGCTGTTGTGTTGTTCACAGTTCAAAAACTCTCACTCAAATGAAATCGACGCGTTTGTAGGGAATTTCGTTAAGTAGGTTGGTCAACTGGTTGGCCAATAAATCAATGCGTGTGTAGGGCCTTTTATTCAAGAATGATAGAATACAAGATTGCGCCAATCGAGCTGAGAGCAACCGGGCGTGACGTCAACAAATACCAGAATGAGAGGGCAAGACGAACTCGACAAGAAAAAGACGAAGCATCGAACAAAAGGCAGTATTTGTAGGCAGTAGTTTTGAATTTGAAAAAGCACCAAATTTTTATTGGTGTATTTAATGGACGTTATCTATAAATAGTATAAAGGAAAGTCGAGATTCTTTGTACGCGGTAATCTCGAAAACTACTGAACGGATTTTGACGAGATTTTCTCTAATATACTCTGTATCGACAGGAGAGTGACACTTTTTACTTAGAGTTTATAATAGAGTTGCCACCTGTTTAAAAAACTATAAAATCCGCATCGTTCGTTCGATTACAAAAGGTAAGGTGTCAAATGAAAGGGATTGGCCTCTAGAAAAGCACTAATGTTTTTTTTTTTTAATAGGGTTGTCACCTGTTTATAAAATTACAATATTCAATCATAATAAGCGTTGGCATCAGTTCTGCACCGTGACTGTCAAAAGAAGACTTAGCCTCTACATGTGCAACAATAGGGGTGAGTAGGGTTGCCACCTACTAAAAAGTTAAACGATTTGCGCCGTTCGTTGGATTATAAAATTAGATACCAAATGAAAGCGCCTGGCCTTCGCATGTACAAAAACCTTTCATTTTTTGAATAGGGTTGCCACCTATTTAAAAATTACTATCTTCTATACATAGTATAAAGGAAAGTAGAGATATTTTGACCACGCTAATCTTAAAAACTACTGAACGGATCTATATTTTTTTAAATATAATCTGTATCGATAGGAATATTATCTCTAGTATTTTAAATTCCTATAGGGTTGCCACCTGTCTAAAATATATTATATCCGCACGGTTCGTGAGATTACAAGAAATGAGGTGTCAAATAAAAGGGCTCGGCTTTTAGATGTTCAATTATGTATTACTTTTTGAGTAGGGTTGCCTTTTTTTAAATTATAAGATCCTCACCGTTTGTTGGACTAAAAACTGAGGTACCAAGTGAAAGGATAAGGTGTCTGCATGTGCCCTAAGTTTTAATTTTTTGTTTCAGTGGGGTTGCCACCTATTTAAAAATTATGTATATATAATACGCGAGGGCATTTTTTGTTAATGGCGTTAGATTTGCACAGTTCATTCAATTAAAAAAAAATAAGGTGTCAAAGGAAA